GAGAACCACCCACGGGCTCTAACCTACCAATTAACAAATTCAACCATGTGAATATTGTTACCAAACCAAACATCACAGCTACCAAAAACTACCTACCCCCCAATATCTTATCCAGCCCCCGCCGCCGTGACCCAACGGGATAAACAAAGAACACCAACCAAAATATAAGGGAGGGAGGGTGGGACAACAATAGGTAAGTGTGGTTAATTAAAATGCCACCTAATCTAAAATGTCCATTATTAATATCTGAATTCCAGTTACAGCCACACCCTTGTGACCACCTGACCAGTAACCCCACCTCTACACATGCCTGCCTCCTAGCTCTGTCAAGGCCCACTCCCCTTAGCTGCGCTGTTCCATGGGTTACATTACATTGACAAAAGAGATGCAGGATTCTGTGTTAAGTGTCTCGAGAGCTGCAGGGTTCTGTATTCAGCATGTGGAGAGCTGCAGGGTTCAGTGTGTGGAGAGCTGCAGGGTTCAGCATGTGGAGAGCTGCAGGGTTCTGTATTCAGCATGTGGAGAGCTGCAGGGTTCAGTGTGTGGAGAGCTTCAGGGTTCTGTATTGAATGTGTGGAGAGCTGCAGGGTTCAGTGTGTGGAGAGCTGCAGGGTTCTGTATTGAATGTGTGGAGAGCTGCAGGGTTCAGTGTGTGGAGAGCTGCAGGGTTATGTATTGAATGTGTGGAGAGTTGCAGGGTTCAGTGTGTTGGGAGCTGCAGGGTTCTGTATTCAGCGTGTGGAGAGCTGCAGGGTTCAGTGTGTGGAGAGCTGCAGGGGTCTGTATTGAATGTGTGGAGAGCTACAGGGTTCTGTATTCAATGTGTGGAGAGCTGCAGGATTCTGTATTGAATGTGTGGAGAGCTGCAGGGTTCTGTAATCAATGTGTGGAGAGCTGCAGGGTTCAGTGTGTGGAGAGCTGCAGGGTTCAGTGTGTTGGGAGCTGCAAGGTTCTGTATTCAGCCTGTGGAGAGCTGCAGGGTTCAGTGTGTGGAGAGCTACAGGGTTCTGTATTCAGTGTGTGGAGAGCTACAGGGTTCTGTATTGAATGTGTGGAGAGCTGCAGGGTTCTGTAATCAATGTGTGGAGAGCTGCAGGGTTCAGTGTGTGGAGAGCTGCAGGGTTCTGTATTGAATGTGTGGAGAGCTGCAGGGTTCAGTGTGTGGAGAGCTGCAGGGTTCAGTGTGTTGGGAGCTGCAGGGTTCTGTATTCAGCCTGTGGAGAGCTGCAGGGTTCAGTGTGTGGAGAGCTGCAGGGTTATGTATTGAATGTGTGGAGAGCTGCACAGTTCTGTATTGAATATGTGGAGAGCTGCAGGGTTCAGTGTGTTGGGAGCTGCCAGTGCTGGCAGCCTTAGGCCTGGGGGGCAAATCAAGACAAGAGGCCCATTGCACCAAGCAGAGAGTAAAAACACCTTTCCCATATGACTGAAAGGGGGGCAGTCACTTAAACAGACACTCAATGACAGGCACACACACACACTCACTGACAGACACACACAGAAAGACACACTGTTACAGGCATACTGACTCAGACAGACAGACATATGAGACACACACACATAGGCATACTGGCTGACACACACAGACAAACTGGCACACACGTAGACAGACATACTGGCGCACACACACACAGACATACTGGCGCACACACAGACATACTGACACACACATACACCCAATTTTACAGTTTTAAAACAGTAGACAGGGGCTGAGTAAAGGGACAGGGCTGTAGTGGAGAGTATAGCTGTAATTGGGGGTTTAGGAAATGTAGGGGGAAGGATAGGGGCTGAAGTAGGTTGACAGCTACAATTTGGGAAAGGGGCTGTGGTGTGGGTGATATGAGTTGCAATTGGGGGAGAGGAGCTGTAGTGGGGATGTTATGGGGCTGTAGTGGGGGGCATGGGGCTGAGGAAGGGGGCAGGAGCTGAGAGGG